ACAGGCTGCCCAGAGAGGTTGTGGAATCTCCTTCTCTGGAGATCTTCAAAACCCGCTTGGACGCAGTCCTGTGCCTCGTGCTCTGGGTGACCCTGTGTGTGCAGGGGGGTTGGACTAGATGATCTCTAGAGGTCCCTTCCAACCTTAAGCATTCTATGATTCTATGATGAAAGCTGAAAAGCATATGAGAAAGCTTAGTGTATTATGGGCTCAACCACAGATCCTGCTGATTACCAGTTAGAACAATCAAACAAATAGAAATTTAGAACATTCTAGATTAAGTATCAGCAAAAAAAAAATTATACCAACACCAAGCAAACGCAAGGTGAAGTCACTATAGCCCGTCTGATGAGCAATAATTTGCTGATGTATTCAGCAGATTGCTCATAATCTCTGTGTTCACTCTATGCTTCACTTTTTTTTCCACTTAGAACAAAATCTGCCCTTCAAAAATAAACAAAACATGCAGTTCAAGTAGTTAAACAAACCATGTTACTTTTCCACAGGAAATTACAGACATAGGAAATGCAAAAGGCTGCAGCTAACAAGTAAGTTTTATGGCACATACACAGTTTCATTCATAAATGTCTGTTTACAGTCAAGATGGAAAGAGACAAGCATCTTAACACATGACGTTTATTCATGACTGTCCTGATGTAACTTTTGATGTCTTTACCATTTCCCTTTTGCGTCTGCAACAGTGCTCCCTAAACAATGCATTAGTCAGAAATCTGGCAACTTATTTTTTGTTTTTTCATTATGCAAAGTAAACTCACTTAAGAATGATGGTCTCTCATCTGGGTTTTGTGCCCATCCACTTGCTATCAGTCTTGTGACGAGCGCTCGATGAGGAATGTCCACTGACAAACTTTCTTCACTTAAATCTAGCCGCTGTCCTTGTGACACACTATACATTATCTGCAAGGGGTTTATAACTTCTGTCAAAATAGATATCGTGCGTTCATTAGAAATATATGCAATAAAAATAGTTTATTACAGGAGTAATAGTTTAGATTGCTGAACTATAAATACTATGCTTGCAAAAGAAAGCAGTGTTCCTTTTTACAAAAAAAGAAAATGTATTTTGAATTTATGAAACAATATGACACTTGAAAATTAGAGAATTTAATTTGAGAAATAACTCAAACTGATATTTAACAGACTTAGAAGCTGAATGATGACAAAGCAATCCCTGAAATGAAGTTCTTGGGTGCCAAAGTGTCAGCATTAGTTTTATGCAAGGCCAGGAAAATAAATTAAAGGATATGTTCTTACCTTCGAAAGGTTGTTTCCTTGCCATCACTTCCCACATAATAATTGCATAGCTGTTTAAAGCATAAGAAGTATAAAATACATTATTTTAAATTGCAACATGATAAAGCAATGAGCTCAACTTTACATTTTACTAGAAACAATCCACTAAAATGATCCTGCAAGTTACACCCTGCAGTGCCTACAGCTAGCCACAATGATGGCCCAAATGCACGAGAGCTCGCAGAGTACTACAGGGACCAGTTCAAGATTTTAAGCACAGGAAACTTACATGGAGCCAAGCGCCCCTTCCAAAACTGCTCCTGCCCTGTTCAGTTGCACACAGTGAATTACATATAGAGTAAAATACACAACATGCGGTTTTATCAGTAGATAAAGATGTCACTTCACATCGCAGATAAAGATGTCGCAGCATTTGCTTTAGCAAAGAAACTCTTGGAAGGGGCACCCACACCTGGAGCTGACTGAGTGAAGACACCTCTGCTCATACACAAAAATAGAGACAAATTTTCCTCTCACATCAGCTGCAGTGGGAAGCGCCTCAGTGCATGCCTTTCTTTTCCACCTCTAGGAGAACAACTGCACTCTTCAGTTATCACAATATATTAATCAAAAGGTGTCTTTAGAAAGGCTTTATATGCCAATTTTGTGTAGAGGTTATATTTAATTGTCTCAAAGCTTTGTATAATTTAACAAGTATGAGCTAGTGAGAAAAAGAATTTAACTCACACTTAAAATCAATCATTTAATTAAGCCTTCCTAATCACTTATTCAATCATCTGTGATTTGTGTCATAAAATTAATCCTTGTTAGAAAGACTGTTTTTCATGTAGTCCTGACAAGTTCAAGAATAAAGATTTGTCATTGCTAATTGTTATTTTTAAAAGTATTAATACTGCATTTTTGAAAGATTTTTTTCCTTAAGAAAGATCCTAACCCACAAGGTAGTTATAACATCTCAATAATATTTAGATTTTATTTGCTGCAAACAGTTAACTGGCCATCCAGTCTTTCATTCAGTTTGAAATCTCTCTATAATTAAACATGATTCTCTCCATTCTACAACACTGCAGCAAATCACCTCCCTTTACATTATTCATGTTCTCCTTTATTATTTCCTCCTCATAGCATCTCCCTCTGCTACTAAGCACAGATTTTTCTATATGACTTTCCTGGTAATCTTTTCCTTCACTATCTCTCTACAACCATTTGTCTTCCAGTCCTGAATGGTCATTAGCTCCTTATACTGTTTACTTAATTCCTTTTCTCACTCTTTTCAAATAATCTCTTTCCTTTCTGATTTAACTGTTTACTACATTCCTCCTATTATCTTTGCTTACTTCTTCCCATTCAGTTCCACACAACTTTTTTCTAACCAACCTTTTCTCTTTCCCATCTCTGTATGGGGTATTCCTTAACACACCAGCCATACTTCAAATCCCCTAAAGTCAAGAGCCAGAAGAGATGACTTTTAAGACACTACACTTCATGGACATACCATCAGCCTTTTTCAATGTCATCATAGACCACATTTTCTCCTTAAAATGTGAGGAAAACAGGTATATTAACCTCCTCTTTCTTCAGACAGAAATGCCAAAGACCTTTGTGTGCTCCTTAGGTGATAATTAAAAGACTTAATGCTCTTTCCAGCAATCAATAACTCCCCGAGAGACTGGCTCATATCTCCCTAAAATACAATCCTGCCAAATTTAGCTGGATCTAAAGGTAGTGGAGCGCAACAGAGAGATGCTTTGTCACAGCGATATTCCTCTTCTAGGCTGCTAAGTCCCCACCTCCCCATGACAGCTCCCTGCAGGATTTTTCAGATCATCTGGGCTCTCTGAATCTCTTCAAATAAGCTGATCATTCCTCTAATATCACCTGTTTAATAGAAGCAGACACTATTCCACTACTTCCAGATACTGCTCAGCAGAGCTGAAAGAAGCAGATCTACCCAAACTTTCATAAAGTTATTCCTTTAGTGGGTATCTGACTATACATCCCCCACCACCATTACTTGCTTTTTTTTCCCCTCTAACTCCCTTCCAAAAATGTTCTTCTTTCCCACAAATATATGTTGCAAATTATGTCACTGATGTGCATTAAATACAAGGGTATGTGAATAGAAACAAGGTTTTTTCCTCCCAACGTTGTCACGCAAGAGCAACACAAGGTACCTGTAGATATCATGTTTTACACTCGCACGTGTTTTCTGGCTGGGGGTGTAATTTTCAGGTGGCATGTAGATAATCGTCCCTCCTTCTGGCAAGGACATTTCACTGCGTGATTGTGACATAGACACCACACGCCATTTTGACAAGCCAAAATCTGCAATCTAGAAAACACAAAACTGTTGTTCAAGAAGAAGGATAACTGGGTTAATCTATTTTCTTGTTGCTGTTGCTTGTTTGCTTTGCCTGTTTTTTTAATTCTGGAAAAAAAACACCTGAAAGAACTACTAGTTTGAGGACCTTAGCCTGACATGTATAAGTATGTCATTGTCTTAGCAACAGAAAACACTACCTGCAATTCAGAAAACATTCCCAATTCATTATTTATTTATTATTGCTACACTGCCCTAGCTTCTTGATCTTTTAAGGAAAGATTTCACTGGAGAATTTACTGTGAGTTTCCATCCTGTCTGAAGAACTGTTCCAAAAAAATCACTTTCTTTCATTAAAAACAAGTAAACAGAAAGCCACTGTGCATTTCTAGTGCCCCTGGTTGTGAGGAAAAAACACATATTTAGCACAAATCAAAACAGCCCTACATATTTGACCCTGCAGACGTCCTGAGACAGTTGCTCTTACAGATTCAGGGTAGGGCAGTCAGGGGGGATAAGATGTTATCTCCCAAACTATTGAACATTTATCTGGAATTAGCAAAATTGTTATTCTGAAATTCTGGCCTGTAAAAAGTCACCTAAAGCATTTGCTTACGATGAGCTCTGCAGCTTTCCTAAAGCCATCTCTTTGTCACTTCCTACAGGGCCTACTGCACTCCCCCATAAAGAATTAATTGATCTTAATCTGCATTCCCAGACATCAACAAGTCAGGGAGCAGAACAACACACTAGGCTAAAGGTAGGGAAAAGGAGCTGGAGGAATAAACCAGCACTGTGAGCTGTGAAGAGTTCAGCATATCAGGAAAAAAAAAGATGTATTAAGAGCAAAATGATTCTGAGCGAAAAAAAAAAATAAATAAAAAGATGTATAAGAGCAAGATGATTCTGAGTAAAGTTGCCTCTGGGAGCACTGCCACATTTAAGATGACAGTAATAAATCTTCTGGAGAGTGTGCAAACAAAATCCATAGTAACAAACAAACTTTCATCTTTACAACTCAGTTTTGTCAGGGTAACTTCCTCCCTGTAGCTGTTCAGGTCTCCTTAGCAGATGTGGAACACAGAATTGCTCTAAAATGTTATTAATTTTATACACTTATACAACTCTTTCCATACAACACATATGATAATCTTCCTTATATGTCCTGTCAGCTGTACTAAATTAGACAATCTTGCTTCACCCCACACAGAACCTTAAAAACTGACTTCCAGAGATTTTTGTTTCATGTGTAGAAACCATTAGGATAGGAAATTTGAATTTCCTTTTCATTACAAAAGTACACAGAGTTAGCCAATTCCCTTCTTTTGTTCTAGCAGAGCTGCTGTTCATGCACGGTCAAGCAGGTACAGGATAGCACCTGTGCTAATAGGGATGGAAAAAAAAATATGTGCATTAAAAAAAAATGACTTGGAGCGGTTCCCCCATCAGGTTTATCAGGAAGCTCCAGAGTTGGTGATGCCAGCAGAGGGAGGAGAGACCTGCTGAGGGTGTGAGTGCAGAGGAAGCTGCGTAAGCTGCCCTGCTGCCAAGAACAACCTCTCTGGAATGGAGGCCTCTGAGTAGTTACTATTAGGAAACCAGCACTGGACATTTGCTCAGAAGACTTACAAACTAGCCCGCGTGGTGATGTTAGCCACTGAAGCACAAACCAAAAGCAAGGCATCTCTCCGTGTCACAAATGTAAAAACAACAAAAGTCCCAAACTGAAATTATGGAATTTTCTCTCTGTTACTTTCAATCTCTTTTTCATATCAGGGCAGTGAGAGTGTAAAAGGCAAATTTAAGCTTTTAAAATAACATTGTTTCTCCATGCACGTTTGTTTGCTCTAAGAGAAATTACACAGGATGCTCAAGTTTCAGTTAGGTTATACATACTCCTATACTACACGCTAACAGCATATGCACTTATTGCATGGTAAATATCAAATGGCATTAACTTTAGAACTTGGTACCACTGTCCTCCAGGAGAAATCTGACAGGCAGCAACACGTCTGTTTTCTACTCAGAAAGGGACCCCTGGAAGGGGTGCATACAGAGTGTCTCTACTAGTCTCAGACACTTTTACGGCACAAAACCCCAAATTCTGGAGACTTTGTCTTTTTAGATGGATCAAATCTACACTTGAGCAGGACAGAGATTTTTAAAGAAACTGGAAAGTTCTGTCTGCAAGGATGAACCAAAAACCCTGGCATATAATTAAGTCCTCTTCACACAGTCATGTCCTTACTGCTCCTCCTCTGCAATAGTTAAACACTTTGGCTCATTTTGGATGCTGAAAAACAAAATAATGAAACAGGTTTACCTTAACATGAAACTCATCATCCAGTAAAATATTCTGGGTCTTCAAGTCGTGGTGCAGCAATGGAGGATTCATGTTGTGCAAATAGTTTACTCCCAAAGCAATTTCATACAGGATTCGGAATCTCAGGCACCAGGGAATGTCAGGATACACATCCTTCTAGCAAAATTAAACCACAGAACCAAGACATAATTCTCTGTTCTCATCTAACAACTTAATACAGACTGTTAAAATAAGAAGAAAATGAGATGCACAACCAGTTACCTTTTAAAGTACACATTATGCCAACTCCTTAAAATGCATAACTGGGACGTATACCTCCCACAGGAAGTTTGTGACGACAAGTCACAAGTACTATCCAAAGGAAAGCAAAAATCATATATTCAGATGACACTGGGGGGTATAGAGGGAGGAGGGGAACAGGACATGCTAGGCCAAAATCCCACCACATGTCACTGTACAGGCAGAACTCAACTCAAATTTATTGAGTTTATTTCCATGTCTTTTCCAGCTATTGCAAAACCAACCAAAAATTAGCTTTGGAAACATATGAACACCAAAAAAATGCAGGAATTTTATACATTAAAGTTGACAGTGATGACTTAATGAAAGCTACACAGCTGAGCTCTCTAAGGCACGAGGCACTGCCTGAAGGTACAGAAGAGGTACAGTGCTATGGAGAGAACTGCAGTAGCTTTAACCTAGAACACCGGATGCTTGGATCAAACCACCAGAAGTAACCAAGCTCTCAGCACAAGCTGACACCCTCCTGAGAGCAAGATCCAACAGAAATGTACATATCTGCCTAGATTTGCAAATACAGAGTCAAACAGTCTATTATTTTTTTAAAAAAGGTCAACAAACAAGTGGAAAAAATACATCTTTTTGTGATGTTTATAAGGCCGATATTCCTGAAACACAGACTGAAGTTACTATTTCCGTTTTAAAATGGAGAACAACAGGGATTTTTAAAGTGGTTATATATAATAATTCATCATTGAGCCTGTTATAGAGCAGAGAATTAAAGGAAAGAGTATAATAAAAGAGTTCAGTTGTCTTTTTGGAGAACAGAAATTCGAAGCAATGAAAACCGAGGCTTATTGTTCTTTAATTTGAAGTACTATTTAACTTTACTCTATTCCTTTCCTTAAGGATGGGAATCTCAGTCGATTTGAGCGAACCAGGGATTGTATTTAAGAGCTTTAAGTAAACTTACCCCGTGTAAAAGCTGGTTTAATGATCCATTGGTCATGTACTCTGTTACTATCCCCAGAAATTCAGGCTCATTGCAAATTCCTAAAATTGGCAGGATATAACTGAATCTGGCTTTGTGCAGTATCTCTGCTTCTTTCAGAAGGTGGTTTCTATCACTTAAAGAAAAAGAAAAGGAGGGATTACTGTGCTAACACCAGAAAATTCAAAGCGATTGCAAGGTTCATTAAATTTGCTTTCTCTAATTATATTGGTGCATGCAGTATGATCATCCTTCCAAATTTACTTCCTACTACACTAATTTTATAACAAGATACTTGAAAGCAAATTAGAATCTGCACAAGCAGGCACACGATAGCTTCTTCAGTTTTGTTGTACTGCACGATTACCTCTCATTTCCACACGTTTCACCCATGTTTCAAGTAAATGAGGACACAACCAGAACTCCAACTTTCACCGTCCTGCGTAACCAAAATGACAGCAACATTTAACTATTTTTATCCCATTTTACTGCCCATCTTCAAACACTGAGTTTTCACAGACTGTTAGTCTACTATAAAATGGAGATTTTAATACTTAGCTCACAGTTCCCCCGTCGTTTTAACTCAGTGCACACTGATGCATACTAAAATAACATAAGCTAAAGGAATACAGTTTCAGTTTCTGAAGGAAATGGAATGCTGAAGCATGCTTCGTTGTTACATAAACTATTCTTTTAGACTGGGCTTTACCTAATTATACAGAGAGCATATTGAAGCTGACACCCGAGTTTGCTGGTGTAAATGTTGTTTGCTAAGGCCAAGCCTCCTCATAAATGTGAACTGATGCCTCTTTCAGAGGTGTAAATAAACCTTGCAGCGTATGAAAATAAGCAGCTGAAATGTTATTTAAAACTAAGTAATAGTAAAGTTATATTCCTAAGAATAATAAAGACATTTTGGGGCATGTTTTACATCTCAAAAGTTCTTGGAACATACAGGTTATTAATAGTAACGATACTTGGACTAAGAAAGATAATTCTAAGAAAGGGAAGATTTACATTTTACATCACTGGAGCCTGGCACGGGGATACCCAAATACTGGACTATTAGAGCACATCCAAGATGAACCATTTGGACGTACACAGTGCATGTGTGTAAGGACGTGCTCAGCACAGTCCTGTGCCACCATGGTCATATGCCTTCGAGGCGAGAGCTGGGTTATGTGGATGCAGAGCACAGGCGTTCCAGTCTGTCCCGAGCTGCCACTGCAGATCTAGGCCTCACAATCAAAAGAGCTAAACCCAGAGAACTAAATCTTGCTTCTTTCATGATGGAAAAAAATAATGGGGCTATGCAAAATTGTTGGTTCTTGAGCAGGTAGGAAACAGAAGGCAACATATCTTCATGATAGGAAAAAAGGCAAAAAATAGGTTCCTATTACACAAAACTCTAGAAAACTCTAGAGATGATCAGAGCGAAAAGGCAGGCCTCAAGAAGAGCCTAGGGCACAAATCTCTCCCTCTGATAAAGTTGAGGCTAGGGAAAGCAGGGGTTTTCCCGGGCTCCGAGGCAGCTCCGCACGAGTTTCTGCCGCCAGGGGAAGCGCGTTGCGACACCCCGAGCTTTGCGGGGCGCAGCGTGGGCCGCGGCGGCCTCCGAACAGGCTCCACGGCCAGGCCGGGCGGCGCAGGCGTCCTCGGATGGAGCTGCCGCCCGCGCCAACTTCCCCTTCCCGCCCTGCCTGGCCTGCGAGGCGGCAGGCGGCCTCCTGCTCCCGCCGCTTCGGGCTCCGCGTTTCCTGCAGCTCTCGGTTATTCTCGTGGCGCGTCCGAGCTCCGCACGGGGTGACAACACTGGGCTGTCGTCACTGCCGCCGCTCCCCTGTGGCCAGGATTTCGTGTCACACTGATCTAAATCCTAGCAAAGCCACAAAATGGCATTTACTCTTCTTCTCCAGCCAAGCTGGGTGGATAAGTACTATATTCCTGCTAAGTGGGGATTTAAGCAGATCATTTCAAGAAATAAATAAACAAATAAATAAGTGGAGTTTTCTGCAAGGGAAAAGGCCACTAGAAACACGGCATTGAGATTCCACTTCATTTTATGACGTTCTCAGAGATGAACCTGGGGAGCAAGAGGCCGCCCGACTCCAAACAGCTCCTCTTACACTTGAGCGTATGGAGTCAAAAACCCACAAGTTTTCTGGGCTAACCTACCCGAAATGTTTAACCTTCCAGGGCAACCCCACGGCCCCTCGCACACGCGGCGAGGCCGCCCGCCCGCGCCCTCCCTCCATGGGCCCCGCCG